AATGATCCGAYCATAACCAATTTTTTCTGTATGTGCTGTATATAATACACCAAACCATAGCTTAATCTTCTGATCTCAGCAAAAATCGAATTTCGGCAGGTTAAAAATTTAAAAATGTTGAGTAAAATTAATTTTCTTATAAAAACCACGACAAGTTTTTCAATTAAACATTATTTCGARGGCTAATATCTTCTAGAGAAAATTTTTTTTAAGATTTCATTTACGGAGAAGGCCGGAATCACTGCAACAGAGAAGAATACTACTTTTAGCGCCATTTTCAAACAGCATATCTTCCTATCGCTGACTGATATTAAAAAAAAAAAGATTTCTTATAGATTGTTATAGATTAAGCACCAGCACCAATCTCGCTTAACGGCTCATAAAATTCCATGGTAATCCAAATACACTTATGTAGCTGCCTGCAATGCTTTCGACTTTTTGRGGAGCTGCGATAACTCTTAGCGCCCATCCGCCATGTTCGTGCAAATCACACAACAATAACATTGAAATCATGTGATGTAATAAGCGTGAAATATGTCAACATACATACATACGTCATGAGAAAGTTCGCAAGGTACAAGGTACAAGGTACAAATTCAGCGCCAAAAAAGATTGTTTATGCGGAACCGAAAATAAGCACATACATACATATGTACATATGTATATATTCTTGTGCATCATCTTAGACATACACTTGAGTAATTATTTAAYATATTTATGCATGTRCATAWATTAATATAAACATATGTAAGTATGTATATTACCCACTTGGACGAGCCCAAAAAACAGTTACTGAAATTATTCTTCATCATGTTTGTATGTACATATGTATGTATGTACAAATGTATGTTTGTGTCACATGAATCAAGGCAAAAATTGTTGCGCTCGACTTGAGTAAGTCGCAATCAATGTGAAAGATTTCAATAAATGCTTATCAATTTAATTACAATAACAAGTTCAATTACAAACATACAYACAAAGCCCATTTTATTTTCTTGCCTTTGTGGCTTCTTTTTTATATATTTTTCCTGCTTGTATTTCGATTTATTGCTTTATATCCTTTTTTGTTGTTGTTTTACTGCTATATTTGGGCGAACAGCCGGCAAATTGAAAGCGGTAGCTGTAAAGTACTCATGCGAAATTCCGGAATTCTTACTGAAATCAAGCACACACACACACACGAGCGCGCRCAATAGCGACCGGTGCGTTGTTACTGTGTGTGTCAACATGTGTATATTATGATTGTTGCTTACGTCAAATATGTCAAAATGACAAAATCTTTTTCGCGTATCAGCGCAATGTATTTGTTTGCATTTAATAAAGTTTTTAYTGTTTTTGTTTTTTATTTCCACTTTTCCTCTCGCTCTTTTTTGCACGCATGAAATGCSACATTCTTGCGCTTCTTTGGAAACGCATAATTGCTCTGATCTACAGTCGGAATTAGTCACCTGCGAAGTGCGCTCGATAATTAACGCCGAGCTTACCGTTAACACGAGCACACAGTTTTTCAGTTACTTAGCGGCGTTGAACGGATTAGGGTCGCGCGTGTCGGAACAGTGTGAGAGTGCACAGTGACCGCTTAAACTTTAGCACAATTTTTTAGAAGCAATACAAGTTTCATATATTTAAAAAAAAATATATACATATTTTGTCTTACTACGTAAGTAATCGATAGTTTTTTTGTACATTATAAAAAGTATCACACATAAAAATGTATTATATAAAGAATTTAAAAATTGTTGCACATAAAAACTAAATGTCATTGARGAGGCGGAAATTGAAAGAAATAAATCACTGTGTAACCTTAAATGTGCYGTCGCTCATGATTGGTCGCCACTTATATACGCTATAAAAAGGCGRCCAATGGGAGTGCGATTCGCTGACTCGATTGCGAGAACTGTCAAAACCGAAATGCAATCARTCAAAATTTGGCAAAAGTCAATTAAATTTGTGAAACGCAGAAATTTGGTAATATGTTAGTTTACAGTGCTGATCTTGGTGGAAATGTATAATTCGAAAATATAGAATAGAAGGGAACAAATTTGCAATGGCAGTAACAGTACTGGTCGTAAGGGATGGGAAATTTGGCATTTACCTAGAGCAATAAATTTTCACAGGCTCTGGCTRTATGATAACTCATAAAATACCGAAAATTTATGTAAAAAAGGTAAATTTATTCGACTCTGTCATCCTCGAATATAAAAACAATTATTACAAAGGATTTTCAACATCAAACCCAGTGAAATCCACACTAATGAGGACATCATTGATTTTTTCAGGCTTTAAAGTAATTTCACAAATTTACTCTCCAGCGTTCATATGGAAGCCTTCGGTACTAATTATGAATTAGCCTTTTGTACACAATAACTGAGCTGACGTACAGTGTATTTATGTCCTAAAACAGTTTCCACGWCTCCTATGACTATAAAACCATATTATAACCACTTTTATATTAGGGTCAATACATCTAATTCATTCTAAAGAGTTAAAAAATTGTCAAAGTAAAGATKCTCTATCTTCTTCTAAGAAAGGATCGCTAAGCATTGATATCTAGCTCGTAGCAGAATACATTCCATTAGTTAATTTAAAGAGAGAAAACTTAAGAAAATTGAGATCAGAGCTAAATTCTGTCTCTATTAACATTTAAAAAGGTTTATTTCTTTTACGGATCTTTAAACCTTTACGTGCTTTATCAATCTAATCGTCTAACAATCATTGTGTTTTGCAAACAGGGGCAATGTAGCAAAGCTCGTCCAGGGTTAAATTAGTCGGAATTACACAACATGAATTTTGAGAATTCCTTTTAATACTCCATTCGGTGRAATGTTACCATAAACCTTTTTTTCAGTTATCAGCAATCTGTCGCGCTGTGTAATCAAATTCAAGCCAATAATTTTCACCTTTAGGTGTGGCACAGCAGGGTTTCTTTTTCATCCTTCTTTACTTCTTTTTCAATTAAAATTAGCTCAAAACCAGCAGACAAAAGCAATCGCGATATTACAATATTTGAGTCACGGCTTTCAAAGAATTTTTTTTATTATTTTCTCGCTGTAAGTATTACATATGCACAAACAATATATATACAAAACGCGTGCGCAAATTCACTATATACATACCATGTAAAGTATATGACGCAAAAATTGTTTATTTGCACAGTTCACAAACGTCATTGTTTTAAGCAATTATAAGGCATGGCCTGTGGAATKGCGTTATTTAAAGAATTGAAAAGATTGCATTTAAAAATAAAACTTCTTAGAGTAATTATTGCAAAAATAACATACATATATGTATTTGTGTGAAAATTAGAAACCTCATAAGTGCAATTTGATGATTTTTGAGAATTCTGAAAATAAATATACACAAATATTCAAAAACTATATAAAAAAATTAAATTTTTTTCTGACACATACATACATATGTACATATATATTATATATATATATTTACGAAGAAAAAACTATTCCAATAACAATTTTTAAGCACACATAATTAATTAATGCGTGCAGGAAACACAGTTGTCACAAAAAATGCTGCCAGCATTGCAATTTGTGGCGCATTAGCCCGTAAATAAACCAAGCGTGTTAAATTTAAATCCACACTTCGTTTAAGGATGCCATTCATCATCGTTTTCCACGAAATTACAACAGGTTCGCAGTATTGTAAACAAGTGTGACGTCTTCGATTSGCCCATGACTCATTTTTGTGAATCCCATACTGAAATCTCACGAAAAAAGAAATTTAAACCAACTGGATTCTCTTAGTTTATTTATAAATTACATGACTAAAGCCAAGAGAGATGATAGACTACTGYCTTTTACCTTATCTACCTTTCTTTATAAAGTTTTGAAGAAGTAAACAAGTCTTCAAGTGGTTTTTTAGAGTGTGAGCACAGGAGAAAATTCCCTGACTTTTTTAGATTAAAAATAACACTTTCGGCCTAGAAAGCGTAAACCGTTATCGATTCACTTTCTCTTCAGTTTCTTGACAAGTAATGGATTAGATCACATGGTTTCATTAATTATAGTTTTGGTGTATTGTTCTTGCGTTTTAGTCTACTTCCTTATTCTTGCTTTGATCGTTACGCCACTTACTAAATTTCAGCAATTCAAATACAGCACAGGATTAAGGATTATCATAGGTAAAAAGGTTCTTTTTTCGGTGCTATACGATTTTCCGTTTAAAATATCACTTCAAAAGCCAACAATACAACAATAGCTGTGAGCTCAATTCTCTTACAATTAATTTCGCTTAAATAACCAATTGGAGTTTTAGGGAGCTTTCGTTTTAAGTGTACTTTCGCTTGTCGAAAACTATTATTTAAAGTTTTGCTAGTTGGCCAAACAATCCTTACTATTGGGAAGGTAATAATGGTGACCTTTCATAGAATACGAGCAAGAGCGCTGGGTTATATCTATAAAAGAACAATCACTACTACAACAACGGGAAAATTGCATCACCGTAAGATTTTAAACAATTTTGAGTTCATTAGCCTTCAAGCGGATTTCAAGATAACATCCGTTTCCATACAAATTCAATGAATAAAAAGTTGCTGTAAAGGTTAAGATCACTGCTATATGATAATAATATTTCAAATCAAGCTTTGCATGCCCACCAGCTTTATAAAGCTGACACATTCTGTATAGATGAACCTTTAGCTCGGAAAAAATGTACACTAAAGCAGTAAAAATCGAATGTGGCAAACTTATAAGCATTTACATTTTTCTGTTTATGAGTTCCTTAAGCATAATTAACTTAATTTAAATCTTATACTAAATTCTCACATTAATATAATATAACCCAACATTATTTGGGCAATAAAATGACACTCAAAATYAACGTTTTTCTCTTGTCATACTTCCAGAACTTTCCACTGTCCTTGGCAATTACAAGCATTTTTACAATAACTCATTTATTTAAGTGCGATTATTATGCATTTGTGACATTTAAACGCTGCCAACAAACAACAACAACAAGTAGTAGAAACACACAGCATCGCAGTAATGACTCCTGAATTCTTGAAACAACACATTCAACGCAACAACAGCAATAACAGCATATACAGCAATCAGCACACAACAACAAATTACAACAATGACAATGATAGCAGCCGACTGTCAGCGTCACTAACATCCGCCACCACACCACCACTCACACAARCGCACAATGCCAGTCGATATATGACGCGCAATGATGCCAATAGTATAAGTGGTTACACGCCACCAGCAAGCCCAGCGCCAYCAGCCACACCACCACCAYGCACGCCGACGCTCAATGCCAACGTGCGCAACAGAATAYTCGGCGAGGCAGCGCTGGCGCAAATGCCCAAAGCGACGTCAACACCRCCCACAACAGCCGGCGACATCATTGGCAGCGTGTTGGGCGATTTCGGTATTTGGCAGTTACGTTCGGTGCTCATACTCTTTCTGTGCAAATTACCCGCCTCTTGGTTCATGGCCTGCATAATTTACACAGCGCCCGAAATTAAACCGCTCACGCAGTATCACTGCGACGCGGCTGAGCTGACTGCAAATCAGTCGGTAACGGCGAATCAGTGCTACGTGGTGAATTGGAGCGCGAACGTGGGGCCGAATGGCACCTCGACGGGCGMGATGCTCTCGCAGAAACCATGCACGCAATTCATCTACGAAGACAACTTCTACTCGTTTATCATGCAGTACAATTTGGTGTGTCTGCGTGAGATATTCGTGGCCTGGACGCAGTATTGGCATCTGTTCGGCGTGTTGGTGGGCGGTGTCATCGGCACCAAAGCGATGTTGAAGTAAGTAGCAGACTGTTGAGCGAAAGTGTTGGCAGAAGCAGACATTAATGTTTTGTTTTTCTTACAGACTCAGTCCGCGCACAGTCTACATCATTGGCGCGGTGCTGCAGATTATACTGGGTGTGGTCACCGGCTATTCGACCGATCTAACCATGCACTGCATCTTTCGCTGTCTCGCAGCTATTGGCTGCGCGATGATGTTCACCTCGGCGCAGGCAATCTGTAAGTAACAAAAGCACTTCATAATGACTGAAACACTGTCTGACGCGTTATTTTACTCTCACTAGTTGTTGACATTACTGGCGGTCGCTATCGCACCGGTGTCATCATACTCTACGACACATTTTGGTCGCTCGGCGTCATACTGCTGCCAGGCATTTCGTCATTCTTCAACAACTGGAGCCAACTATATTTGGGTATTACCTTCCCTACCGTGATTTTGCTATTTCTGCTGCAATGGACACCAGAATCTCCGCGTTGGCTGTTGAAGAATGGCAACGAACACGACGTGTACCGTGTGGAACGTATGATACGCAAGGCTGTGGACATCAATGAACGTACATTCCTCATACCCGACGATTTTCGCCAACAAATCGAAAAGCTGCGCGAAACTCTGCGTTCCCAAAAACCGCCGGCCACTTGGGTGCAGCTGTGGCGTGGGCCACGCGCCAAGCACTACATGCTGGCGGCGCACGTCGCACTCGCTTGCTACATTGTSAACTATATGGGCATGCTGTTGAATTTGCGCTCATTCGGACGCGACTAYCGTGTGCCGAATACGATAGCGATGGGTAAGTGAAAACGCTGCGCATTATTTATGAAAGCTCGCATGCTTAAAGCTTTTCTGCTTCACAACTTTTAGGCGTGGCTGAGATCGTTGGCTGCTTCATTGCTCTACACTTTGYCATGAAGCAGGGTAAGAAGAAATTCGTGTATGCTGGTTGCTTCAATATTATCGCCGGTCTTATCGGTTGCCTCGGCTGGACCTTTACGCACGCGAACTGTAAGTCTCGCCATACATTGACAAAGCGTATTTTATGAACATTTATTGTACTAACTTCTCTTTTTTTCATCGTTTGTGCAGTGAATCCTGACTTCAAAGTCATACTCTGGATGATCATCGCCCTGGTGCCGAAGGTCAGCGTCTCCTGTGCGCAGTCGTTAATGCAGGGTTGCATGGCCGAAGTAATGCCAGCCCATAAAAAGCAACCTTTTGCTTTCTCCGTTGTGACTTTCGCGCGCATTTGGCTGYTGAGTGCGCCATTCATCAATCTRCTCAAAAAGACMGATGTCGCGCTTTCGCTTACATTTTTCGCCGTGTTAACGGTAATTGGCGGCATTAGCACCTGCTTGCTGCAGCCGCCTCGGCAGAAAAATACAGCTAATCTGACGTTGTCAGAGGCGATCGGTAGCGATGAAGCGAATAAGAAAGAGCGTTCACCGTTAACCGCCACTGTTTGGACGGTCGAGGGCGATACGAATAATACGCGCCTATAAGTAGGTTGCGCCATCTGTYATTATTCATGTGTATTAATTGTATTATTTAGTTAATTTAGCGTGTGCCATCGGAAACAAAGTCTTCGCTCAATAGTTATATACTACATACATACATATATAAAATATTAATAATTAGTCTGTAGTGCAGCTATTACTATTGTTAAAGATATTATTATTACTCGCATACATTTAAAATGAATAACTAACCTTAAAAAATTTATTAAAAAAAATGTAGTTTAATAAATCTGTGATTAACAAAGCCATAACAAGGTATGTTTACATACTTATATACAAAAGAATTTTCTCGTAAAGTTAGACAAGCACAGCCCTTAGGCACTTTTGTTTCCTAATCTTCTAATTAAATTTGTAAATGAATTAATTGTACTTAAGTTTTAATTACGATTGCTTATATTAGTACCGCATTAACGACACGAGCACTTTGTTTTCACTTACAATAGTATATGTTTGTATTCAAAAACGATTTATATCATATATATTAGTAATATAAAACAAATATTAGACAACCACATACAAATGTACATAAATATATGCACTTTAAAAAACGAAATCGAATGGTAATTATTTCGAACTATTAAAAATATTCGAGACTTATGCTTTCGATAGAGCCGAGGAGCTTTAAAGCTCAGTAGCACAATTTTTTATTCGAATATTAAAGTTCAGTATGAGATAAAAGGATTTCGGAAGAACCGAAGAGCCGAGGAGCTTTAAAGCTCAGTAGCACAATAAAAATATTAATATTAAAAAAATTCAAATATTAAAATTCAATATAGATAAATGGATATACTATATTCAATCGGTTTAAGTTTGATAAAAACTGACTAGATTGACACACTGAGTCGTAGCCGCTGCAGAAAATTGTTTCGATTACTCAGTTCAAATTTTATTAAGAGCGTTTACAATTTTATTGCTATATAAATGGCCATAAATGTTGGTATTGTTGTGTTGATGCAACAGACACATATTTTCAAACAAAATTATGGAAATGTAGCCGAGTTGACAATTTCTGACTGGATAAAAAACGTAGTAAGTCATGGGTGATAGATCCAAGTGTCGGCGATACGAAGCAGACTTCTACAGCAATTAATGTTTTTTTTTTATAATTCTTTATACATATATATGTTAAGTCAATTTGAATCTACTAAAAGATGATCAGAAGCAGATGCTAGTAAATTGTTCGATTCACAGCTCTGTTATTTTTAGTGTTATTTTACCTGAAGCTTATGCTAGATGGCGCCGTTAGCTAAATAAGCTAAATTTTTGATTCTTTAATGTATTGTTTTCACTTTTGTGTTTATATAATTGACCACTGCATATTTTTATATTCAAAATTTTTTYTCTCAAATTTGCATGAAAATAACGGTCACACAAAACGAAGCAACTAATAACACTGTGCAACAATTATGCGTGATTACCTTCAATTATTTTCCAAAAAGCCACTTCAATCTTAGAGTTCAATTGCTTTATATGTCTACATTCACACAAATATTTATGCTTATAGGTTATGGCGCATGTGTCGAACGGCAACTTGAATTACAAATATGCTAAATACTGAATCTGTGCAACTTAAAATTTTTAAAAATTTTTTCGTTGAATTTCAACAATGCAAATTCGACTGGTTTGCCTTCACCATCTAAAATTTGCACAAAAATTAAATCGACTCAGTAAACTTTGTAATAAACATTGCACTTTTTCAAAAACACGCATACGAGTACATCGATTGTAAGCACACGGCGTATAATTAACCAAGCTGCGCATGCGCATAAAATTCGATTGATGCACTTTGGAAAARCACACACAGTTATTGGTGTAGATAAAATATCCCCTACAGAGATGCATTTAGTAAGCTTATGCCCGCTTTGCGTCTTCTAGAGTTCGCAGAATATAAAATGTGCACTGATCATTATACTCAATTCAATTCGACAAAACCTCAATATTCCTACTACATATCTATAAACACCTGATTATCGCAGCATCTGGCGAATTATAGTACAATATTTCTGTCATATTTAAATAGAGTATGTCTAAGTAATACCTTGAAACTGGGTTCCATACAGCCTGGAAATGGGTATGAAATTCCACTTCTCTAGCTTATAAATAATTGTTATTTACAATCTTKGAGTCTAATCTTTCCTCGCCACTGCCAATTAAAGTAGAAAAAGTATTTATTTCTGAATATATAGACGATTTTTAGAAAGAGTATGTTATGTAAATGCATCAGTAATGTATATTATAAAGGGTGATCCATTTCGAGGTTCCCTAATTTTTGAAGATTATCTCTTTCAAATGTTGGTCACGGCTAAGTCKCAGAGGGTCCATTCGCTGAGTCCAATTTTCGATGACTTGTTCGAGCATTTCGACTTGTAACTGCCGAATAACACGCATGATATTTTGCTCCAATCGAAGCTGGATTGCCCACATATACTTTAGAMAGAAGAAAGTCTAACAATGTGATATCACACGTTCTTAGTGGGCAATCGGCCGCCCAAACCTTGAAATTATCTGCTCACCTCACCAAAGTGTTCTCCCAATAAATCCATTAATTGAAGAAATATGGACCAATGAATCCACCGATTCACAAACCACACCAAACCGTTGTAGTTGTATTTTCTAGATTAAATGACAACTCTTGAATTACTTCAGGTTACTCTTCGTCGCAAAAATGTGGCAATATTGCTTGTTTATAGACCCATTGGTCASAAATCGGCCTCATTGCCGAACAAAATTTGGCTTGAAAACGTCGGATCTGCTAAGAACTTATCAAAAGCTCATATAGCGAAGGTCAAAGAAAAAGAATGTACATATAGTAGCGTTCATGAAGCAAGAAGTCGTCGTCACCGTCAATTTTGTAGGCCGAAATACATATGTATATCAAAAATGGACAACTTAGTCAAGTAATTTTCTCTTTACATATAATTGTTTTAGGTAAGGATGATGCTGTTCTAGAGGCAGAAAACATTCTTAAAAAAATACAGAAGCATTGTGCTGAGTTGACAGTTCTCGGCCGGATAATAATCCGAGTCCGGTTCCGACTGTCGTGGGAACGGAGAACTACTCTATCTTACTTTAGGTTCGTCAGATCACTGATCCATACTGAAAATCAACTACGACATACCAGTTTTTTTTTTTTATGAAACCACCCTTTAAGTAGAGGAATATTTGAAAAAAAAACTAAGATGATCTGCGCTTCATATATTTTTCTCGACACTGTTACTTAATAGTAAACAATCCGCAAAAGCATTAGAAGCAGGTTATGGTTAAACGGCAGATTGCATCATTGAAACATTCAAGTGAGCCGCAAAAATAGCACCTATGTACAGACAGACACATTTTTGGAAAAGCGCTAAGTTGCAAGAGGTAAGCTAAATAAAAAGAGAGCGTTAGCGAAAGGGAGAGTCATTAAAAAAAACCGTTTCCCGCCAAATTTGCAAATGTTGCGAATAACTGTAAAGCAAAAATTCATTCATTTCTCAAACACCACTTTACAATGGTTGTGTGTTGCCACAAATTGTTGCACATAGCCGCATAAAGTCGCTGAAGCAGAGCGTCTATGAAATACTCACTGGAAAACTTGTTTTCTTAGGATGTTGATGTTGTTTTCGAATATCGCCGCTACCAACAATTTACTTTCGCACAACACTTTTCACTTTCATTCGGCTCGGTGGAGTGTTTGCATGGCAGCAACGCGGAAAATCTAAATTTTATTAAAATTGCAAAACAAAGCAACAAYAACAAAGGAGTTTATGCAATAAATACCCAAATATATGTATAAGAGTTTGTACCACGTTTCTGAAGCAGTATGTCCGAACCCGAGGATTTCTACCAGGACGCAGAGATTTTTGTAACGGGTGAGTTGGAAGGCGAAAAAATTAATTTGTTTGATCAACTGTAAATGGAAAAGCTTTTCAGAAAATTATACGGTTGTAGAGATTTTTATACGAGAGTAGCTTTATAAAGCCGTGACTATTTGAATGTGAAGTGTGACATATATAAATCTAAATGCAACGCTGCTGTTGTCATTTGTTAAAAAAAACTGTCWAATTTTGACAAAATTCTGGTGGCTGAACTCGAGAGGGGCTGGAAACTTCTTCTTCTTTACCGGCGTAGAAATCGTTTAAGCGGTTATAGCCGAGCTAACAATAGTCAGTCAGTTTCTTTTTTTAGCAATGTGGCGCCAATTGGAGCCAAGCCAGTTTCTTCTCGACCTACTCGTTGTTGAAACGTCGAAACCTGGATACATCATAATACTCCATAGATCAAAGAAAACTTTAAATAAGAGACCTTTATAGACTTATGGCGGTCTTACTTAAAATTTACTTTGTTCGACAAAGACAACGATGGTTCACTATAGAAGCCGAACTCTTCAAAGAATTTCTACAAACCATTTTCTGAACCAAAAGCAATCCATGACATTGAAGTACCTATTTGTTCTCCAGTTCATACTGCTTTCTTAAGCTTTGAGTAGAGCACTGAACACACTTATTAAGCTGTTATTGAAAGAGTCACCCAGTCCTTTGTAACTACCCTCGTAGTTGTTTTGCTCGCAAATTTCCATTTTACATTATTTTTTTTTCATTTAGGCGCCACTGGCTTCGTAGGCAAAACGCTGTTGGAGAAGTTGCTTTGGAGTTTTCCACAAATCGCTCACATTTACATGTTAATACGCGAGAAGAGCGGCCAAACGGTGGCGCAACGTTATCAGGATTTTGTGCAGCATAAAATTTTTCAACGCCTGCGCACGCATTATCCGGAGCGGCTGGAAAAACTGGTCTACCTGAAGGGTAACATTGAGTGTGACGATTTCGGTGAGTGACGTTAGTAAATTAGTAGCTTCATACTTTACTATTGCTTTTTTCATTTATTTATTTTTTTCAGGTTTAAGCCCCTCGGACCGCCATCGCTTGTGCACGCATGTGCAGATCATTTTCCACAGCGCCGCCACAGTGCGCTTCAATGAGCGCTTGAAAGTCGCCGCACGCGTGAACGCCATCGGCACTTGGCATCTGCTGGAGTTATGCAAGGAAATGCCACAGCTGAAGGTAGTACTTATATTTTAATGCTGCGTCAAGTTACTAACTCCTATGCGCATCTTTCGTACAGAGCTTCGTCTACGTCTCGACGGCGTATTGCAATCCGGGGCGTAAATTTGTCGATGAATTGATATATCCCACTTTGCCGCCCGTTAACTGGAAAATGTTCGTTGATTGCACCAACAAAATACCAGATGCTTATTTCAACAGCTTAGCCAATTATATTAAGGTTAGTAACTAACTTTGAGACATTTGCCGGCAAAATGTTCCTTTTTCAGTCAACTAAGCGTCGGTAGAGGTAATGTATTTAAGAWATGGTCTCGGGCGAAGCTTCYGACMAAATTAGAAATGTACTTTCTACTACCGAAAATCCATCAGATTCGAATACTATTTTAAATGCGTATCAAGTGATATTAAGCTACGTAAAAGCAGAAGTTCAGCCCAAAGAGAAAGTGCGAAAGTTGTAAAGGACTTGTTGCTACATCATTTTTCGAAATRRCTTTAGGCTTTGAAATGCAGAAAATACTGGCTAAATTTCATTGGCATCRGCGCTAAAACCAGYTTCTTGCRATGCGTTWCTCAGTTTTGAAGGAGTTTTTACCTCRAACCCAATAACAYGAAAACTATTTTTATTGTTTAAGATTTGTAAGAAACAATTTTCCAAGGTTYTAACAGTACTYTCTKTTCAAATTAACCAACTTTCTCAAAGGGTCCTCATCCGAACACTTACACCTTCACCAAATCGATCGCCGAGCAAATTGTGAATGATTACAAACAGTGTATACCAATTGTAATCGTACGTCCATCGATCGTGACGGCAGCGCATCGTGAACCATATCCCGGCTGGATCGACAACATACAAGGCATCACCGGCATTATGATGGAAATCGGTAAGGGTACAATCAGCAGCATATTAGGCGATAAGGACATCATTTGCGACATAATACCGGTGGACTTTGTGGTCAATACATTGATATTGATGGCACAAAAGGCAACGCTGGGCAGGTTTGTAACGTTAATTTATAAATCGATATCATTGAATGTGTATATTAAACATTATCTCCGCTAGAGTTTACATTGCCAACGCTACTTCGGGTGTTACAAATCCCATTACATGGGCGCGCCTAGGCTGTCTGACGCTAAAGTGGTCGCGTATCTATCCGACCAAGCGTATTTTGATGTATCCATACTTCAAGTACCGGAAAAGCTTCATGTTACACGAAATCGCTGTTATTTTACTACACTATGTGCCCGCTTTATTGATGGATCTGCTAACCTTGTTGCGGCAGAAGCGAAAATTTGTTTTGCCGATTGCAAAAAAGTTTAGACAAGCTTGCTTGGCAGGTAAACACTTCAATATGCAGCATAAAGATATACAATTTTAGGTATCTTCCATGGACAGGTCGCACCTTCTCACTGAATGAGTGGATTTTCAAAAACCAAAGTCGTTACTACTTTCAAGAATTACTGCAGAGTACACCAGCACAACATTTAACATGGAACTTGGAAACCCTAGACTATGATAACTACATAAGAGAGTTTGTAATTGGCATACAGAAGTATCTGCATCGTGAACCCTTTCAGGAGAACGCCAGCAAATGGAAGATCACACGGTGAGCAGCAGTGTAAATCGAAAGAATCGAAAATCTTAATTGAAGGTTTTTCCATTTTTCCACAGTTTATACTTTACCTGGGCGTTTATGCACATATTTTTAACTCTATTAGTGTTTTACTTTTTACTTTAATATAAGCTGCTAAGTAATAGAAGATCTTTATTGTTTTGACATAGTGAATATATTGTAAATCAAAACTAATAACATACATAAACATATGTATATATATTATGTACATAAATATGTATGTACATATATAATGCATCCAGTAATGAGAGAATGCAATGGTTGCTATAAATCAGCTATTTTCCCGACGTCCACGTTTGCACCCGCTGAGAGCGTCGCTAAACTGATGTCACATAAAATGCCACCATCTTGTATTCTCCGGCATAAATAAGTAACAATTATTATAAAATAAACATAAATTCTTGGTTAAAATGAAGAACTTGTATTAATTCATTGGCTGTCCACAATCATCGGGTGGTGGTCCTAAGGTTGGGAAGGTGCGCAAACGTTGTAATTCTAAAATCGTCTTCAGCTCCAATATATGCGCATAATCCTGTCGCACTTCGTTAATCAAGTAGCTGTGCCGTTTCACCTTTTCCATGCTGTGGGCAGGGAAAACAGTTAAATTGGAAAACATGATACATTGGCAGAGAGTATAGATTTACCTTTCATTGCGCTCTCTTTGCAGTTTCTCTTCCAAGAGAGTATCCCGATTTGCGGTAAATAGGGCTACATCTACTTTAACCTCATCGATGGATCGATTTAATGCCTGATTTTTGCGTTTTACCTCAACTATTTGATCTTTACATACAACTATTTTCTCATTGCTGGGTTGAAAGAAAAAAACAACATTTGGTATACAGTATCTTCAGCTTGAAAATTGCGTTGTAAAGTCAAAAAARATTCTAGAAAATAAAGTTTGGGTGTATCGAAAATAATCTATACRGTTCAAAATACTATGAAAATTTTCTGAAACTTATTAGCATATTATTTAATGCTAGAAATGTTCTCAGAAGTTTAGTATAGGCAGCATTGCATTACTTTCGGATTATGAGTTTATGATCGGATGATGTGGGATCACCCATCTAACCCAACCGAATCTGAAGCACATCTAGGCTTTAAAATTTATTCGACTAATTATTGGAAAAAATAAACWAAATTTTTAAAAACAAAACAGTAAACTGTTGAGGAAACAGTATGTAAAAGTATACAAATTTGGGTCCACCACTGTCTGGTTGACTTGATTGACTGTATTCAAATTGAACTTTCTTCGCTGACAAGACTCGMCATTAGGTTCCAACAATTCGTTCCTTCAACACAAAAGAGCTTCAAAACATATTATTTCTTRGATTAAAGCTGATAACTCAAATTCATAGCCTAACTCTTCCTTATTTCATTAAACAACTTTTACATATCTTATTAGTCGAACTTACATGCGGTCTAAATTTTTGCGGTATGCCGTTACGCGCTGTTCAATTAACTGATCGATACTGCCTATTCGGGATAGTTTGATACGCTCTTCCTTAATTTTCTTCCATTTTCGCAATAATTGTAGAAATTCGGCGGTGACCTTAAAAAAATAATGAAAATGATAAAAAACTTCAACGCGCACCAACAGGCTCTTTTCAGGCTTCAATATTAAAGCTTACTGCTTACCTTACACTTCTCGATGACTTCCAACATATACTTGAGATAATCAATGTTTGCACGATACATTTTATGCTCCCACTCTTTGTAGAGCACCTGTCGTCGAAAGACGGCCAAACGTTGCATTGTGCGCAGTTTCTTAGCACCAGCTTTCTATAGAGTCATTAGAAAAAATAAAACTGTGTATTTAACTAAAATGCTCAATTTTAACATAACACCYTAGTAGTATTCTTACCTTGATTAAGCTATTCACATCGTTTATATCGTCAATGTTCATTAGAATACAGTTTTGTAAATTCTTCATGGACCCACCGATGGATGTTTCCACCTGACCCAAAGGCAACACCAATTCCAAGCGTTGATTTTGTACGATATTGAACTAAAATGTAAAAAATTATATTACCAGAGRACTCGACATATTCGAGATCGAATGAGCAGAAAAATTTAGTTACTCGTAATTTAAATGAGATTCTGTCCTGAGATGTCTTTCTTAATACTCACTTTACCTCAAACTTAATTTAGCCAACCAAGTGAATATTACCTGTTTCGGTTTCCACACTTATCTTACTATTCATACTCACATACTGTCCCGATAGGCGATCCGTTTCTGACATCATCTGCTGTTTCAGACTTCTCAAATTATTCAAGTCAGTTATGGAATTATTTAATTTGTCCTGTGAATCGGTCAAATGGAAGCCTTGACCTTTAATCTTAAGCTCATTCTCGATTTTTTGTCGTCGCAAGCGCACGAATTGATCCCAATACTTTGGTTCTAGTTGATGTGGCGCATTTTGTATATCGTCTAAATGGTGCAAACTAGTAAAGTACTCCTGCACTTCGACGGGTAAGGGGAACGTGAAACGGCTCTTATGAACCAAACGCGCAGCGACCTCGTGGCACACCAAAGCCGCTTGAAATGAGCGTTGCTGCATTTTGGGGCGTCGCCTAAATAGTTTACTCAATTCATGCGAAAAAGTCGGTGCATTCGCGAGAAAGTTGCCTTTAAATTGTCGTTCAATAGTTTTGTCACGTGCGTTTAAGGTCTCCATATCCTGTTTGATATCAGCGATGGATTTCTCGGAGAATTCAATCAGTTTCACATAACGATTAGTGTACTCATTGGCCTTTTCGGTTTCAACTCTACAATTTCAGTTGCAAGTGATGCATTCTTTATAGAATTGTTCATAAAGTTAGTGCTACTAACCTCAAATCTGCAATGGAATTACGTAAGGTCACACGCTGATAGAAAGACACCTTCAAACCGAGTAAGCGCACGCGAAAATGTTTCAAAGCAAAATCATATTTTAGCTTAAGTATCGCCATTTGAGCGCAGCGTTCATTAAATTTATGAATATAGTTGATTTTCAACTCGTTCGTTTTGCGTTCGTTCACATTCAGTATGCGTAAATATTTATTGCGATCTTCGGTTAGTATGCGTAAAGTTTCCTCATATATACGCAGTAGTTTTTGATCCTCCAAGGTGTATTCGTGCGGTTGCCGTTTCGACATAAATTCTGGCTCTGGTGGCGTCTTCTTGATCTCCTCTTCCCACAATTTCTCCAACACGCCATCCATCATGGTATTCAGCGCACGCATCCAAAAATCAATAGACCACAGCAGCATGCGTCCACGTTTCTGATCGCTAACCACCGCTTTTTTGGCACGTCTATTGATCGCTTTAATCTCAGAATCATCAACCTATAGGGAATCAGGAAATCAGATATTAAATAATACCGAAATTAGTGTCAAGAGTTGATCCTCCCTTTTCTTACCGTCATTATACGTTCCAAAACCTCATCGTTCATTAGTACTGGCACCGATAACTGCTGCGGCGTGAATGTTTTCATACCCAATAGTGAGAGCATGATGTTCATATCGGTATAAATATGGGTCAGCGACGTATTTGTTTTTATAATACTTTTCATGATTTCTTCTTTGTAAAGTTTTTCTTGTTCGAACAATTTATTGTACTCTTCGCGTAGCGGCACATCCAAAAGAACCTGAGGGATAGTTTTAGCAGTAGATAGAGAGAGTAAGAAAGCATAAGATCAGTTGCAGGGTACTTAAGAGAAGAGACCGTACATAGAAAGCCAGCTCACCTTGAATTTTATGTCATGGTTGCACATCTGGTTCGCCGTAACCCAAGTTATATCCTGCATTTGGAAATCCTCCGACATTAGATGCTCAAAGACATTACCCACAATTTTATACAGCTTCCGTTTCTTCTTCACGACAGCAGCAGGCACTTCAACTTCCGCCTCARCTTCATCAGCAGGTATAGCAAACACAACGCTAGTAGTGCCGACAATTTCTTTTTGCGGTACAATTTCTTCGGTTTCTTGGTCCTCTTCGAGCGGTTCGAAGTCTTGAAAACGATATAAGTCGAAAAAATCCATCATGTCTTTCTGCACTTTACTCAGTGAATAGTTCTCGAATGCGTTGTTCGCAAAGATTGCACGAACTTTCGTGCTGATCTTCAACGAATTTTGCGCAATCAAATTCATAATCCAATCACGTATGCGACTCTTATCCAGAATGCTCTCCATTAGTGAATTGTGTTCGATTTCGCAGACTTTACGCGCCTCAGCATTCAGCTGATTCAACCAGGCGTAGTTAAGGCAAAATTTCCGGTAAATACCTTGAGTTTTGCCCGTTACTGCGATGTCGTAGTCAATGAGGGCACGCACTTCCTCCTCCAATTGAGCCAGCCGTTTGTCAATATTAGCGCGTCGGTCATAATTTTCTTTCGAAATCAATTGCTTAGTAAACGATGCCGTTGAAGGTGTTTCAACCTCATGTTCTAACTCGAGCTCCACTGGTACTTCGAGTATCTCGGTGTTCTCTCGTAGGTTATCGGCAAGSGGTGGTAGGCGAGAAATCTTCAAACAACCAGATTCCAGTAAAACTGCCAGATATCTGAAAGTAGTTATTTAAATAGATAGCTCAAACTAAAAGAGTTGAAATTGAGGTCTTAAGGTGACTCTGAAATTCGAGGAAGTCCAAAACATACAYACATGCATAGTAACTCACGCAATACCAAAGAAGATAGAACACTATATGTGTTCCCTGACAGTTGGTGCTAACACAACATTAAAAATTGGGAGCTTATGAAATTGTGAGACTTAGTTCGGAGATTGATGCGAACCCAATTTMAACTAGCGACTCGCAACTTCAGCTAAAAATCTTAAATATAAGGATCTTACTCACTTGCTGTTATAGATTTCTTTTATGTGCCTTATGAGACGCTGTGAGTAGCTGGAATACAGTTTCCGACATACCACATACGGCTTCGAGCTACGCTTATGGTGACGAAAGTGTATCATTAGCGTGCTAACATCATAGGTTATGATGTGATTTGAACCCGCCACACCCGATACATATGCCATATGCAACGTATTTAAAGAGCGCATTAAGATCACTTTGTCCATATGCTGTATAAAATAAATATCCAGCGAGAAACTGTCTACCGGCAATGCGATAAGTTCCACATGATCCTTATTCGARACGTCCAACAACGTGATGTTTCGATATTTCTTCTGTAAGTTATACATACGACGATTGACCACACGCTTGTCCGCCAGCCAAGCAGAAACCCACAATTCATCCGCATACGGAATATCAGTGTCTTTGATTTCGTCTTGGGAYAAAAATGACAGGGCATGATCCTGATCGATCAGGAAGAAGTGCAGCATACGTTTGTGCGAGCGACTGAGTAACGGCACTACGATGAGAAAACGTTCGGACTTAAAATCCACAACCATTTCTTTATACTCGTTTTTCATRGTCTTGATTAGACCGGTTTGGTTTGCTAAATATATCTCTGATATGCCATATTTATCGATCTCCATGATGTGTAAAATGGTGGGTGCACGTATCTTCTCGAAMGACAAGAAGTACACCTTACCATCTGTGGTGCCGGCGGCAGCAAATGGCGAGGAATTGTGCGTGGCAACGCATGAACCGTTCGGTATTTGCAACGACGAGTATTTGGTGTTGCGGCTTATTTCGAAAGCGCACAGCATATTGCCACGTGTGAGTATGAGTAGGTTCTCCTCCTTCAGGCCACGCAATATAGTAAAGTCTTCCACCGTATAGTTCGAGACGGAAAAGTCGACAAGTGTGCTATAGTACTCGCTCGCCTGCAGTTGATACAATGAGCCCACATCGTCGGTAGCGTAAGCTTCGCCGGCGAAGTTGGAAACAATCTTCACAATCGGCACACGAATGTCCTTCAATACCCATTCTACAGCCCAGTTGTTACGTTTATGAGTTATCAATGTCGCACTGTTGGCGTTGGACACTATAAGACCCTGCTTGTGCGCAAATAAACAGTGTGGTTGTGGTTGGTCATGGTGTGAAAATGTGGTGCCCCACTGACGTGACAAAAAGAATTGTGCTACTTCTATCTGTAAATAAAAATAAAAACCGTTGCGAGACATCTTGTATGTAACTAGTAAATAATTGTATCTACAACTTACACTGAACACAACACCGAAATCATTCACCACATACATCACATCGTTTTGCGAGCACATGGCGAATTGCGTACTCAATAAATGCGATTTCGGCAACTGAACACGCGATATCTCATGCAGTACCATAGCCTCGGCGGTATAATGCATTTCCCAGAAGACTATCGCTTTTTCGAACTTCGAGAACTGCATGATCATGGGCCAAGTGCGGCTGGAGCAATGCAACGAATGTACTGAGCATTTAATACCAGTAGCGACCTCTACCAATAAGTTACCGGTACGACAATTCCAAATTCGGAATGAATAATCCGGGAATCCACTTAGAGTGATAAGCATGTCGTAGTTGGAGAAAAGCATGTCCACATAGCTGACGACGTTGTTACCTAATAATAATTTATTGAAAAAAAAAAATTTTTAGGTAAACATTGTAGGTATTTCAAAAGGAACGTAAAAGAMAAATTCAACTATCCATGGAGCTSAGCWAGRCACACATAATACTAGGGTTAATACTATCTTCAGCTGCGGATATGCCCTTTTCTTTGTCCGTCACACTTATGTATGTAGATTTATGACTGGAGGATTCATTAAATATTATAAAGATGCTTAGGTTTCTTATGTTTCTAAACATTTTTTTTTTTTTTATTTATTTTTTTTTTTTTTTTATTTGACAACTATTTTCCATTTAATGAAAAAATTCTGACATTTATGTTCCGAACGGTGAATCCCAGTGACAMATGAGTTCAATGGTCTGTTTCGACCATTATTTATGTTCTAGTTTTTTGGAACCGCCTGYTATATCTCCTCCCTCCTTCCATCGAGAATCAGCTTTACAAAAAAGGATACAAAACGACATTAACTTTCAGAATATCGTACAGAATATTCATTCATTCATGCACCAGGATAAAAAAGATTACTACAAAGCGCAGACAGGACGAGGCGTTCAAACTCTCGACGCAGATGGGTTTCAAAGTACAAACACGGATATCGGATGAAGCGTATTAATTGTAGACAATTTTGACTAAAGATAGAAGCAATAGAAGCAGCAAGGAAACTCAAATCAGTATCTTTTTTAAGAAAGGTTAGACGGTTTTCCACCCAAAATCATGAGAGGGTAGTATTAACCAAAATATCCCGAAATACTTTATACATACAACGTAATTGCAACAACTTGTGCATATCTGGATAGCGCACAATGTGTATGGTTGGCCGTATAACAGTTTCTGAATATGCGAACATCGGCAGCGAGAAGTGTCCAGCGAGATTACGTGCACCCAATCCCACACCTGGATTATCAATGGTGTAGTACAATTTGTTTCGTGTCTTCAAATCGGTGAAATGTATTGTGTGATCGTGAAGTGCCGCCAAAGCCTCCATGCCGATGCTGATAAGCGAATATGGCGACGCGTACGTTGCCCATAAGCTGGAAGAAAATGTTATAAGGATTTAGTTGCATAAAAAACACAGTTTTAGTTTTTGTTAAATCACCAAGATTCCCATGCTTCCGAACTGGTCATTGGATTGTGTTTTATTGAAAATTATTTTATATTTAAGAAAACAAAATTATTTTTTCGTGATATTGAAAAATGAAAAATCGTGCTTCTAGCATTGAGTTACTGAACAAACTAATTGACTTGAAATCGGCTTGAAACAGTACAGTGTTGATATGGAAACGAATAATAACTGAGTCAAGGAATTTAAAAAACGTTATTGTTGCCAGGTAGCTTCATTTGTTTTCCTAGCGTTTGTTTGTTCGTCTATTTTGTGGCTTCTAATCTTGAGAGTCTGTTAATCGATGAAACTATGATAAAGGTTCGAATATTTTTATTTTTCGGACTGAATTTCTCGAGTAACTAATCATATGTACTTCTATAAAATATTTTCTTTAAGTATTCAGAGCCAAATATAAATAATATGCGATAAGACTATGCATATATATGGGGTTTTCCTTAAAGATCCATACCTCTTTCGTCTTAAGTGATGGCAAAACCTTCTTCATTTGCCATCGCAACAGGGTTAGGCACAGGAAAGGCGTTCATTGCTTTCTCTATATCACTTTTCTATACTTTTATCCGTCTAGAAAGGGCGTAATTTTTAATCAGTCGAAAGCAGTATTTTTTGGCCACGGGTCTTTGGCATTTAAGACTAAATATGATTCCGCGACAAACAAAACTGCTTTCTCAAGGTCTACTTAGCAGTCTGTCAGTTAAATTCTGGTTCTTAACTGAAAGAAGGTGTCTTGGTTAGGTTAATTAGAACTTGACTGATTGATGGCTAGTAATCAGACATTGAGAAAACGGACGCTAAGACTTCTAAATTATAACTTTCTACCACGACTCAACAGCAAACATATATGTATATTCTCCTTCATCACTGAATTCTTTCATTCCGCTTATTTATTGAAGCTATACAAGGTAGAAATAATGACGCACTGCTGAATTGAATCAATATCAGCAGTTCTGTTAAGATATTTTTTGGAGGGCAGATCCAAAGTGAATACGATGCTCCTTGCCTTTTTTGACATTAAAGGCATCGTCCACCATGAATTTGTTCCGCCTGAACAAACCGTCAACGCCAAATTTTACGTGGAAGTTCTCGAGAGACTCAAACGAAGGTTCAATCGGATCCGACAAGACATCGCAGCCGATTGGAAGTTGCACCACGACAATGACCCGGCTCACACCACCTTTTTCGTGATTAGCTACCCAGCCAAAACCAGTATCCCAACGCTTCCGCAGCCGTCCTACAGCCCAAATGTGGTCCCCCGGACTTTTATTTTGTTTCCTTGCCTGAAAAGATCGATGAAAGGCAATCATTATGAGACGACAGAGGGTTAGAATCGGCATGCACTTCTGCTCTTAAGACTATTCCGGAGAATGCCTTTCGTGACGCCTTCAATGCTTGCAAATCGAGCTTATAACAATGCATCGATTTTAAAGAATTATAACGATTTTTTCAATAAATTTTTTTAAATCGACTCAGTCCTATTACTTTACGGATAAACCCTATATTCGAGTTTTAGATAAGAAGAGATGGGAAATATGATCAAGTTTTTGCAAAAAATCAGAACACCAGATTTGACTTACGCCTTTTTTGTAAATATTGTCACTAATGCGCATCCATTTAAGGATAATTGCCTAAGCTAATTATATATGTACTCATGTACTCAGCTTAATCTTCATACTCACCAGTTCTTTTTGTGAAAGAGAGGAGTAAACTCATCACTATAAAGTCTCCAAAAATCTAAAATTCTAATACAAATCTTCTTCTTCAAATTAGAGAACACATATAATGTTTTGTGTAGAACGATGCACAGGATACTGAGATTTTATTCAAGCTGCTCTCGTGATTAAGTTATGCATACCAAGCGCACAGATCTAAACTACTATAACATATATGAGTAACTGTAATTCGTTTTTATTTAATATTTTCTTTATAATTTTTGTATATTTATTTATACGTATATTCGTAAACATCATTTAAGTTCTTAGCAAAGTTGATTCATAACCATGTTTGTATTATTGATGATAAATTGTAAGCTTTAATGTCAATAAAATCAAATATTGTGTAATAAGCAATAAGAATAGATTATAGAATATACTGAGTAGGGTATAAAGCGTACATATGTATTGGAGAAGATGCCTAGGCATTTAATTGAGATCTTTCCGCATTACGCGCATTTTAGATATGGCATTCGAAACACCATTATACATAGTTAGATAGAGTGAATAAATATGTTTGAGTAAATATATAATATATATGTAATTGCTTGTATATAAGCATTTTTAAGTTTGATTATTTTCCTGCAACATTTTTAAACAAATTCTTTTATAGACATTTATATAAGCCAACGTTTAGGCGCATTTAAGTATAGTATATGTATGTGTACAGTATATTTAATATATTTTCATGTATATATTGTGGTAGCTCATATTGCCGTCGTCCAAATCGTCTCATTTAACCAACAAATATTTTTTGTTACTTTCACTAATCTAAAGAACTCTTGCAGACGTTGCTGACGTATGCAGACGCCGTTAATGTCCACGTATTTATATTTTATTTCTTGCTTTTGCATTTCTACATCACTAGTATTATTAATTCTCAACTCTTTTGTYATTTGCTCAAAACCTTGTTGTGGCTCCCCACCGTTGATCTGCGCCAAATGATGTTCGACTATTTGATCGACATAAATAAAATCGCCGGATTCATTCAGCGGTTCGTTAGTTTGTATCTTACGCAGAATTTCGTTGCGATAGTAGTCGTTGATCAGCGAGAGCATACCTTTGGTATACCAATAGATAATACCCATGAGGAGCACACCCTGCATAAAGGGTCCGACCATTTTTCAAACTTATTATATGTCAATATGTAATAGTTATATAATATATAGTATGTTGATAAACAGTTATTGTATTAATTTTTCTTCACTTTCTTGGATTATATTATAGCATTTCTGGTTATAATATAATATAMATATATGTATGCTTTGTTTTCTAATATTTTAGTTAATTTTCATATTATAATTCTCTTGCAATAATTTTTCTTACTTAATTTGTCTTACGCAAATTACTGCGCCACTTGGAAGGACTCCAACCATTCTCGCAACATGTAGTACTGCTCTTTGAAATTCGGCCAGGCCATTGTAACAATCAGCATRATGGTGTTGGCGAAAACAAAGAGCTTCATAATCTCCACGGCTATAAAGCGAATCAAATAATAAAAGCAATTATTTTCAAATGTACTTTATACCTTCCATGATTATAGTAATTCATGCTAGCTATAAAATCACTTTAAAATATTTTCTACTTTCTACACACTGTAAAGATGGTCTAAAAGGAAAAATAATAATCATGTTCAATACGCCTGCTCTCCATTCGCAATATCAGCGTTGTATACATGAAAGCAAGTATGTACCTAATTATCCAGCGCAATTAAATGCAAGAGGGTGTGTTAATACCTCAATCAAGCTCTCATTGAGCGTGTCAATCTATTTGTCTTACACCATAGGCCTTTAGAAGACCCGTTCTAATGCCACCGGAATTAATATTCCCTCACTCTATTTCAACTCTGCTGCTGATGATCATCAGTACGAAAAGTTTTATCTAAACAATTTCTGAGACTTCGTCAGGAAACTCTCGGCCGAAAGTTGAGATAATTTTGCTATATGGAGCTTTACAATCGCATAGAAGATTATTCATAGTTTCCTACTCTTCTACCTTCTGACAGCATCTACATTAGTCGTTATAAGGCGTTCCTATTCTACTGGCATGATTGAATATTAGACAGCGACATGTAGTACTCCTGCAGAGTCCTTATAGAATTCCTTTTAAATTGTAATAATCGGCATGTGTGTTCCATATTCAATTCATGCCACATTTGCCTTCTTGTTGAGCAAGTCAGCGATTGATTCCACCGAAACTCAGCTAAATTTATAACATATTTATCGACGAAATATCTACTTACTAGCAAGAGGCGTAAAAATTCCCGCTTTTCCGGAGTCTAATTGTAGGCTGGTACCTGTTGTGGCTAGTTCATCAGCTTCACAGTTCCCAGAAACATCTCTATATCCTGGAACCCATTCCTGAGAGATGAGAACTTTACTTGCTCACACTAACTTGAACGAAACCTTAAGAGACTTAAGTGATCTATATATACAGCTCCAGATATTACTTAAATTTATTGGTAGGCAGCTTGTGAAGGGTCTTAGAGATTATGTCTGTTCTTCATGAGAATATAGGAAAGTCGTAATAGATTATTTTATAAATGTCTAGCTTTAAGAATAATTTTCATAGTGAGAATATGAATTAAAGTCAAAAAAGAATAGTCCTTTATATACGATCGAACAACTGACATCTCTCGACGATACTTAAGTAAATCTTATACCGTCCGAACTGTTATATCTCATATGATAATTTATCGATTTTACATGGAATATATTTTTTAATTGACACCTCTGACGCACTAAATCTTTAATGAAAAGTATTATATGTAGCATACCTTCCGGCGAACGCAGGTAATCGCCAAAACCAGAGTTCAGATCATTCTCCGAGTGCAACTCCTTGCATTTATCTGCCTTGAGCTTCTCCTCCACCTTGGCATCGGCTTCCTCCTGCTTGCCCGCATTATTGCGAAAGCTGTTGCGCGATTTGCCATAACCCGACGAGGAGTTGGCAAATGCGCCTTTCTTAGGCTTCATGCCAAAAGTACTTGCTCCACTTGCCAACTGACCACCGATCACTGACTGCTGACTGGAGTTTCGATTCAGGAAAAAGAAATTAATTCACCCAACAACTCCGCAACCTGTGCAGGCCACAAATTGCTGCGAAAAAGTTCCAACCTCGACGCTAAGTGGTCGCCAACTAAATTCTAAATTATATTATGCTGCATTGCCATGAGAACTTGCGCTAAGTCGCGCATATTTTGGGTCACTTACACATTTACGGAAAATGTCTATGGCTTCCAAGTTGATTTTATTGATTACCTGTTACTACATATTTTCGCACAGTAGAAAGTGAAAAGCAAATCAAGAAATAATCTTATCACATATTGTACATACAAAGCAATATAGGTATGTGGGTAATCGGTCAGTCGCAAACGAAGGCGAACCATATGATGAGATGGAGGCGTTATTACTCTCTGCCAAGTGTCATAAGTCCCATTGTCAGCTATTAGAATCATGATCTTTCCCAGAGAGTGAGATAAAAGCGCTGTCAGTTATGTCATATTCGACGCCATCTCGTATAAACCTTACATCATCGATCAATATCATTAAGTGCTGCCTCCGTCTGGGAATATGAACGTTAGGYTACCATGAATATATAATATAAGTTTGCAAGTTTACTCTGTAGKCGGATTGACAGATATATACTCAATCGACCAGCGTTTCCATTCTGGTTACAAGAGTCATCATGTTGTAGAAGTCTAAGTGTCGCCCTCTGGAACCTGATAAATTACAATTGTGTCTTTTCGTTGTATTCCAGATCAAGGTATAAGGCAGGTGCCAGGTGAAGGCGAACACGATTCCCCATWGCTCGTGTGTATTAGGCGTGGAAAATCTTAATCCGATCAGATATTCACCATGCTTTTGACAGCAGGAAAAGGAGCAGCCTTTATGCCGCGATGTCTGAATTTGGTATCCACGCAAAACTAAAGCGGCTGTATAAACTGACGTTGAGCAATACCAAAAGCACAGTCAGGATCGGGAAGGACCTCTCCGAGCCAACAAGTGCTACTTCGGACTGCGTAAGCAATTGAGAAGTAAAGTCCTCTCTCGACGAACAAATACCAAACTCTATGTGACACTCATTATTCCCATCCTGCTCATATAGCAGGTACAGAGGCATGGACGACGACAATATCTGATGAGTCGACGTTCCGAGTTTTGGAGAAGGGTCTGCGAAAAATGTATGGTCCTTTGCGCGTTGGCCACATTTGATGGAACGATGAGCTGTATGAGTTATACGACGACATTGACATATGTAGTTCAGCAAATTAAAAGACAACGGCTACGCTGGCTAGGTCCTGTCATGTTCGAATTGGCGAAAACACTCCAGCTCTGAAAGTATTCGACTCAGTACCCGCCCGGGGAAGCAGGGAAACAAGAAGGCCTCCGCTGCGCTGGAAAAATCAGATGGAGAAGGACTTGGCTGGCTAGGTATCTGAAATTAGCGCCAAATTTCTAAAAAAAGTAAACGATTGGCGCGCTGTTGTTAACTCGGCTATAATCGCGTAAGCAGTGTCCACGCCATTAAAGAAATACCATACCATGAGACAAATTTATGAAACTTCAAAAATTTTGGATTCGATTATCTTTGCATTTATATGACTTTATATCGCCTGCGAAGGAATAGTTCGCGTTCAACCGGATGCTTTTTTTGTACCCAGAGGATACTTGGTCTAAGACCGAAGGTCGTGAGCTGCTTGAGCCGTATGCAAAAGAATCGTTTCTGGCTACTCCCAAGCCAGCCACTCCTGCATTCTCCTTAGTTCATATGAATCTCCATACACGACTGTTGTGCGAGTCAGTAATCTCGCCAATTTAATAATTTCCACAAAAATAGTTTTTCATAATGTTATAACTGCATTAAATGCATTTTATTTGTTTTTTTTTTTTTTATATATTTTAGAGAGTATGTATGTACGTAATACAACTGCAAAACTGTTCATGCTAAATTAAATTGCAATAAAGTTGCAAAACCATAATTGCTGACTAACATTTTGCCGTTGAGTTTGACTTTTTCACTTACAAACATAGAATACATTTTATTGTAATATACCTATATACTACAGTATACAGCGCCAAATATATAAACTAATATTTTTGTTTTTTGCGCTCAATTATTTAATATTATTTTTAATTGTGTTATACATATTCTCGTCAGATTTGTTGTATTGTATAGTATATCCTCCTTAATTACGGAAACATTTCACTTCACAAAGCAGTCCACTCAAATATAATATAAGCATACAATTCTGCCAACAACTATAATGCCGGTGACATTGCAAATGTAAATGCTTACAAAAACAAGACAATAACTCTACCATGCAACTGTGCGCGGCATAAGCATACAATACAATTTGATTTTATAATTTCAAAAACATTTTCGGATATGCATGAAAAGTACCAAGCATATAAAATATAGGTTATAACATAAGTTGAGTTACTAAGTTTAATTTTTTTAAATACACAAGTGCTTATTTATGTACTTTTTTAAACATATATAAATTAATTTAACAACAAATGCACCTGAACTGCGAACTAATTAGCAAATTACATTTATTTATACATTTCTGCATACATATGTATATAGTATATACTGTATATAAATATATATTGCTCTTTTGCAAAATTAATTTTCCTGCTTTGCCGCTAAGCGATTACAGAAGTTAAACTAATTATAGTAGTTATATATATTTAGACGATATGCGGTATAAATTTAGAATAGCAGCTTTATCAGCCTAAAGGATAATAGCAAACACACACGCATGCGCACAACCAGAAGGCGCCAGACTTGATAACACACATACATTTTTAGATATTTTACAATTTAGCGCATTGAATTGCGAATTTGCAATTTGTAGTTTATCATTTTTGTGCGTCGTGTACTCTTGTTTCGTGTCACATTTGTCTTTTAAATTATATTCACTTACAATACTCGTATAGTTTATGTATTCTTTCTTAAACTCTCTACAATCATCCACGAGTATGGTTTACTTTTGCGTGCGTTTTAATTATTGCATAATGAAAGCATTTTCTCGACGCAATAAAACTTGCGCACTTCCAACATTTACGAACATCAGCGACAGTCGACTGAGTTCATTTCACCTGAGCTGTGCCATTTTCGTGGAGGTATTCATATATTGTTCTTACATATGCATATGTATGTATATGCATATCTTTATATTTCACTACCATTGCAAGTTTTGAAGATTTGCAAAATAAAATGGACACAAAGAGGTTAAAAATAATAATAATGATTATAAAAATAATTAAATAAAATCGCA